GCCAGCCCCGGGCAGCCGGGGGCCCGTGAAAATCTGGGACTCTCCGCGCGCCACGCTCCCTCGCGCTCTCGCCTGCAACCATTAGGCCGTCACTCGCGGACTCAGTCCCCTCGAAGCCGTGTCCCTTCCCACCCTCTCCCCCATCTGCACCCGGCAGCGCCAGTCTGGCAAAGCGGCTTCTCCCTCAGTGCCTCGGCTCCCATCCCACTTGTTTCCTCCCCTGGAGACGCCGAGCCCCGTGGTGCCTGCTCTCACGGCCCCCTCTCAGCCTGTGCTCGGCGGGGAAGGGGACCTCAAGGCCAGGCACAAAGCTGCCTGCTTCTGTTCTGGGCTCTGAATACATGGCCACCTCCACTTTCCATCATGCTTCCTTCTGAATCCTTCATTCCCGCAAAGCCTTCCTGAGCGCCCCTGGGGTGCACGCTGAAGCCGCGGGGAGTCGGGGAGTAGAGAAGTGAAGATCCCCCTGCGTTTGGGCTCCCCGCGTTAGCTTTGGCCTGTCACCCAGCGGCCCTGTCCCGCCCTTTTGTCTCCATCAGGGAGGATGGCGGTGAGCGTAGTGGGGAGATCCCCAGGGCAGGGGAGCGGAGCGGGTGTCCAAGGCTTGGGTTCCCGTCAAGATTCTGCCCCTACAAAGCCTCATTGGCATTGGGAGGAGCCAGGACTCCTGCTGCAGGGGCATCTCTTGGCACCGAGAGCCCTGGACCTTTCTTTCCTTGTTCCGTGTTTCCAGGCTGGGCCAGGGACAGCGTTGTTTCTTGAAGGCAGGGGTGTCTCCCAGATTGTGAGGACAGGCCACCTCCTCTGCTATCTCCCCTCCACCTGTCAGGTCCTGGGTGGCTGCCTGGAACCCTTGTTGCCCACATCCCAGACTTGGACGTCCTGGTTCAGATCTGGGATGGACCCAGCAGCCTTGAGGACGGACAGGTCAAGCAAGAACTCTATCTAACTGATGCTAAAGCCACCAACTTAGGGAACTGTGAGAGAAACGAATGGGGGAGGCAGAAGAAGATGTGTTGGAAGAGATGAGGAGGAATCTGATTTGGACCAGAGCCTTAGGGCAAGGTGGTGCGACTCATTAACCAGCAACTCAGACTCCAGTGTGCACTTTCTTGTTTGGAGCAGACAACCTCCCGGGCCTTGCTTGGCATGTCAGTAGCAGGCCTCAACATTCATGCCTCCAAGCACCCTGGTGTGTCCAAGGTCGTGTTAAACTCTGTGGCAGAAAACAGAAATGCCCGGGACACAACCCAGCAACCAAGGATCTGATGGTGTTAAACTCCTGTCTGCTCAATTCTCTCACATGTCTTTATTTTCACCACAGCCTCTCTGACTTACCTGCGAACCTCCTGTGATAGAAACTAAAGTGACTAAAACTTAGGGTTGCTGAGCTAGTCCAAGGTAGACCTCTGGGAGGCAAGTCAGGCCCATCTGACTCGGTCCTCTGTGGCCCGAAACTGGCAGGTACATGCTCCCCCTCTTCTGGAAGGCCTTCACTGACTGGCTGGGGCTAAGTTGCTTTGCCTGAGCACCCTCAGCACCACGCGCTTTTCCTCATACCCTTCCTTACCCTGACCATGGGCCCCTGCCAGCCAAGGGCTGGGCATAGTCCAAGTGCAGTGATTTCTAAACGTTTTGGTCTCATTACCCCAAAGAGCTTTTGCTTATGTGGGTTATGTCGGTCAACATTTACATAAGAAACTAAAATTCCAAAATTTTACAACATGAGAATATACATATCCCATTGACCTGCAGAGCATCCCACATGAAGCCTACTAAGAGAAGGAGAATGGAAAGGGCAAATGACATCTTAGGATGGTTGCAAAAATAGCTGTGACCTTGCAGACCTCCTGAGTGGGACTTGGGGACCACTAGGGTGTTCAGATCACAGAACTGATGCTTCCTGCTGGATGCTTAAGAATTCATATGTCATGGATTCTAAGCTACCCTTTTCTTCATGTTTTAACGGAAATTATTATATCTTTTACAATTATAATTGGCAGTGTTTGTTCTTCTTTAATGTCCCTAAAGTAACGTTGTGTCTTTGAAGTGACAGTATTTTAGATCTGATGGAATGCAGCGTAACTAGTCAATCTCCCAGGGCTCCAGGGGGCAGCTTGAGGCTTGTCATGGTAGACTGAGCTTTGTGGGACAGGGTCATGGTGAGCGGGGTGTGGCACAGCTACAGCTCCGTGGAAGGCAGATCTGGGTGGGAACAGGTACCGACAGAGTGTGGCTAGGGGACAGGGAAGGGAGAAGGTCAACTGGGCAGGGAAGAGTGAACTTGAGCTCAGAGCCTCAGCTCAGCTTGAGAGCTGCCTTCTCACCAGCACGGCCCTTTCGTCTCACCCAATGGGCAGAGCTTTGGCTGCCCACCTCTGGCGCCAGTCCTGCTCAAGGGCTGCTAAGTTCTGTTGCAGAAAAAGACACCACCATGTTTACCATGGTATGAGTGACCATCTCGGAAGGGTGCATGTGGTCAAAGGCTTGGTCCCCAGGGCGATGCTGTTGGGAGGTGGTAGAACGTGGCAAGGCCTAGTGCAGGTCCTTCGGTCACTAGGAGCATGCCATTAAAAGGGATTGTGGCCACCCAGCCCTCCTCTCTTTCTCTCCTTTTTGTGCCCCTAAGGTGAGCTGTTCTGCTCCACTGTGTACTCCCACCATGAGGTGCCACCTCAGCACAGGACCAAAGCAGTGGGGCCAGTGGATCATGGACTGGAACCTCCAAAACTGTCGTTCAAAATAAACCTTTTTTTTCTCAATAAATGAATTATCTCAGGTATTTCATTATAACAATGCAAGGATGACTGTTTTGCCCCATCACTGGCTAGGAATGGAATTTCTTTAGGGCCACCTTTCTCCCTCCTCTTTGGAGCCCCCATTACTACTAAGCAATTCAATGGCAGCAGGGGAAAGTGCCCGGGAGCTTTGTCATCGTTGCTGGAGATCAAACACAAGGTCTTGCACTTGCTAGCAAGAGCTCTACCACTGAGACACCCACCAGCCCCTTGGAACCATTTGTAATTGGTACGGGGCACTCAACCACTGAGTCACATCCCAGCCCTATTTTGTATTTTATTTAGGGACAGGGCCTCACTGAGTTGCTTAACGCCTCATGTTTTGCTGAGTCTGGCTTTGAACTCATGATCCTCCTGCCTCAGCCTCTGGAGCCGCTGGGATTACAGGCGTGATCCACTATGCCTGGCTGAGTGGTGCACACCTGTAATCCAGAGGCTGAGTGGCTGAGTTTATTCTTTACCTTATGTCTTCTAGCACCGTTTTGGAAACTTCTCACTGAATGCTTTGGCATTTTGGTCAAAAGTCAGTTGATAATTTAAATATGGGTTTATTTCTGGATTCTTTGTTGTATTATATTGATCTATTTTCTCAATCCTATACCATTTCCACACTGTATTGATTACTGTAAGATTTCTTTTTATTTTTCTTTCAACTGTAAGATTTCTTGTAATTATTAACATAAGATAGTGTGAATCCTGTGGCTTTTTACTTCTTTTTCAAGATTGCTTTAGTTTTTCTAGATCCTTAGGATATCCAAATAACTTTTAGAATTGACTTGTCAATCTCTACAAAAGAGCCTGTTGGGTGGGGATAGGGATGTGGCTCAAGCGGTATCGCGTTCGCCTGGCATGCGTGCGGCCCAGGTTTGATCCTCAGCACCACATACAAAAGAGCCTGTTGGGTATAAATTGGGCTTGTGTTAAATCTGTACATCAATTTGAGGGAAAAAGACAAGACTGATGTTCAAATCCATGAATGTGGTATATTTTTCTATTTGATTAGATCATTGGTTCCTCTCACGAATGTTTTGTAATTTTCAGTAGAGGTCTTGAACATCTTTTTTATCCCACATTTTCAGCATGTGCATTATGGTACATAATGATGGGATTTGTCGTTACATAGGTGAATACCTTGTATGTCTTTTGTTAAATTTGTGCCTGTTTTATGTTTTTGATGGTATATTTATTTCATTTTCCAAGTCTTTACTGATAATTCATAGACATAAACAGATTTTGGGAAGATTGACTGGCGCCTTAGTCCTTTTCATGTGGCCATAACATAATACTTAAGGCTGGGTACTATATAAAGAAAAGAGGTTTAGTTAGCTCATAGTTCTGGATATTCAAGAGCATGGTGCTGGTGCCTGCTCAGCTCTGGTGAGGCCCTCATTGTGGATGGCATTGCAATGGCAGGAACGCATAGGAGAGAGATCCCCTGGTGGAGACAAGAGGGCCGGGGGGCAGGCCTACTCTGCTAACTGGCTTTCACTCTCTGTACACGAACTAACCCGCTCCACAGCACCAGCACTGACCCCTTCCCAGTGCTCTGATGAGCTCATCAGCTTCTACGAGGCTCCATCTCTTTTCTTTTCTTTTCTTTCTTTCTTTCTTGTGGTACTGGGGATGGAACTCAGTACCTCAGACCACCTGAACACACGGATTAAGCTTTCAGTGTGTGACTCTCGGGGACAAACCATTTCCGAATCATAGCTCCTTCTTGTATTCTGAAATCCTAATAATCCACGGACTCGTCGTTTTCATTCTATTAGACTCCCTTGGTTCTATACACACCTGATCACGTCACCCGAGAACAGAGACAGCTCTTGCTCATCTTCGCAACTGACTTCATTCTTCAGGATGTCGACCAGCGGTGAGTGTGGACGCACGTCCCCCGTTTCTGATCTTAGAAGGGTCACCATTTCACCACGAGTGTAACTGAGTGGTGGATTTTTTCATGGATGCCCTTCCTAGAGTCGTGAGCCATGTTAACGATGTTTTGGTCAATGATAAACCAACTCGTGCTGCCCAGTGATGCTGTCCTCATCTTCGTTTAGTGCATGCTGTGGTG